ACAAATTCTCTCTCTCTCTCTCTCTCTCTCTCTCTCTCTCTCTCTCTCTTTCTTACCCACACACACATATATTCTCTCTCTCTCTCTCTCTCTCTCTCTCTCTCTCTCTCTCTCTCTCTCTCTCTCTCTCTCTCTCTCTCTCTTTCTTACCCACACACACATATTCTCTCTCTCTCTCTCTCTCTCTCTCTCTCTCTCTCTCTCTCTCTCTCTCTCTCTCTCTCTCTCTCTCTCTCTCTCTCTCTCTCTCTCTCTCTCTATCTATCTCTTTCTCTCTCTCTTACACACACATATTCTCTCTCCCTCTCTCTCTTTCTCTCTCTCTCCCTCTTTCGCTCGTTACTATATCCGTGATGTGTCCTTTTGTACTGAATTTCACATTTTCCTTATTAGCTGATAAGCGATTTTTTAAGAAATAGCACATAGCACACACACACACACACACACACACACACACACACGCACACACACGCACACACACACACACACACACACACACACACACACACACACACACACATATATATATATATAAGGAGACGCACCCAGTATAAGCGTGTTCCTATGCCCTGTGTGTACCCTCGGTGAATGGAGTTCCTGGCCACATTATTTATTTATTTATTTATTTATTTATATGTTTGTTGTTATTATTTTTGATCTTAGAGAAATGAGTGACGGAATAAAAAACAAAGAACTTAAAGACATACCCGAAAAGCTAATTGGATAACTACGAATTCAACAGTGACAATTAACAGAAACCCGTCAAATTACACGATCGCAAACTAAGTTATAGAAATGTGAACAGCCAAGTTTGTCTTTGGGATATATTGCCTGGATTTCAATACTTTGTTCACGATTCGGATATAAATGGAACTCAAACCCTGTTGGAAGCCTCTATATTTGGAGTTATTAGTTTAATATCATGAGGATTATTGGAAGAAAATAATATGTTGAAAAGAAAGGAAAATTCCGATTTGAATGTGGTAAATAAAAATATTTTATTATCTATCATATATAAGAATGTGATCGTAATAAGACGTTATTAAGAATTCTAATATTAATAGCAGCAATGATATTAATGAAAATAGTAATAAAGTTATTATATCAAATAAATAAGAAAGATACAGGTGATTTCAGTAGTAGTGTTTATAATGATAAGGCAGTAGCAGTAGTCAGAAATGTAAAAATACAGAAATATTCTCAGGGAAGAGAATGTCTGGATGACTGACCGACTTTACTCAACTGACAGCATTTGATAATACGCAAGGTTAATTTCCAGTTTATAAGGCTGCATCGTTAATGTAATTTCCATTCAAATGTTGATCTCATTTGACCTACCAGTTAATCAATTAACAATGCTAACGCTTAAAGTAATCTTTCAGTCATATTCATTTCACGGTATTTCATTGTCAGAAAAAAAAATGTTGTTCAGTATAGTAATACGTAATATTAATTTGTCTATACTTAAGATTTCCAGTTGCTTCCATTTTTACATCGTTCGTATTCTCTCGAGTACTATATGCGTTTTCTGACATTAAATATATATATATATACGTTAGACTGAACTTCTTTTGAATGTGTGATTGTTCAATAGTTTGAGGATTTTCCTGTCAACAAACGGCTTCATTATGGCTATCACTTTAAATACAAATATACAAAAATACCATAATTTCTACCTGTAGTTCCAAAAAACATCAATGATGCTTTTTTCAAATTTCGATAAATTTTGAATGCTAGTGAACCGTCTTTCTTTATTTATAACAGACATATCTAATTAACGTATTCAATTCAAAGGACTACATACACGCCCACTTAGAGCTCAGGGATGTTCGTATAACCCACGGGCGGCTCAATCCTGCGTACAGATGTCTTTAACCCAAATAAGCCTGATTTAACCCACCTTACGCTAATTAATCCAACCCAACCCAAACCAAACTCAACTTCAACCAACTCGACCGAACTTAAACAAACCCAACACTAGCAAACCCAACCTCATTCAATATTACTCAACCAAGCTCAAACCCAACCAAACTCAACCTAACCCAGCCCATTAACGCAACCAAACTCAACCCAACGCAGCCCATCAACGCAACCAAACTCAACCTAACCCAGCCCATCAACCCAACCAAACTCAACCCAAGACCAACCCATCAACCCAACCAAACTCAACCGAACCCAACCCATCAACCCAACCAAACTCAACCCAAAACCAACCCATCAACCTAAACAAATTCAATCCAAAACCAACCCATCAACCCAACCAAACTCAACCGAACCCAACCCATCAACCCAACCAAACTCAACCCAAAACCAACCCATCAACCTAAACAAATTCAATCCAAAACCAACCCATCAACCCAACCAACCAACCTCAACCAAACCCAACCCATCAACCCAACCAAACTCAACCCAAAACCAACCATCAACCCAACCAAACTCAACCCAACCAAACTCAACCTAACCCAGCCCATCAACCCAAACAAATTCAACCCAAAACCAA